AGAACTCGCCTGAGGGCCAGCTCGCCCCGGACCCGGGAGGGAAGCGGACATTGAGTCCTTTTAAGGCCTGTGCCTCAGTTCTCTTTGATGAGCTTGATAGCTTTTTCAGAAGTGCCTGTAATTCCCCTGCTCGATCTGGGGCGTCCTCCCCGATCAAACGGGAAGAGCGCCCAGCTTTACACTTCCTCAAGTCCCAGCCCATAAAGCCTTCATCTGAGATGGCTCGAGGAAGGAAAAAAGGTAAGAAACCTAACAAAGAACAGAAAGCTCAGTCGTTATCAATTTCAGAGGCATCCTCGGTTGTGAAACCTAACCTATCGCCGGCATCAATGATAAGACATAACAGGGAAAGATCTCGCTCCCCTCTCTCATCGGATGGGGCGAATGAGGATGGTTCCATTTCGGATATCTCCATGAATTCCTCCCATGAACGGGAAGCTCTCACGGAAACCGACTGCAATAATACGAGCAATAGGGCTCTTCAATCCCATGTAAGCGCGGTCTCTCATCAACAGAACAAGCGTTCTCATGATAGTGACAAGGTACCGGGGAACCCCCGCCAAAAGTAGTTAATGGTTCTCTTCCCATACAGCCTAACTCTCCCCCTGAATTCATTTGCAAGTATAATCCCAGAGATTTACCTCCGTACATTGTACTCATTCAAGCGGATTCCGTAAACGATTCAACTCGAATTAACCCTATTATGGTCAGTCGTATATTACTATATCTAAGCATGTCGGCAACAATATTGTCGAGGTTAAGTCTGCAGGCCGAAATGAGATAACTGTATCTCTTAACAATTACGAGAAAGCTAACAGCATACTTAATTTAGCCGACCTTAAAGCACACAATTTGAAAGCCTCAATCCCTGCATTTAGAGTTATGAGAACCGGTGTCATTAAAAACGTGCCATTAGAAGTCACCGATGAGATGATTCTTAATGAATTTAATTCAACGGCTAAGATAGTTTCGGTCCGTAGGCTTCATCGCAAAATACGTAAAGACGATAAGGATGTTTTGACCCCTACTCTTTCCGTACTAGCTAAATTTCAGGGGCAACTTCTCCCTCGTGCATTAACCTTCATGCATGTTTCATTTCCAGTTCTACCATACATTCCACGTGTGCTCATGTGTTTCGCATGTTTAAGGTTTGGACACATTAGCTCTGACTGCAAAAGTGCGGCGTGCTGCGCTAAATGTGGACAGAACAGACACACTAATCAAGAGGACTGTCCTCGACATCAGCTCTCTCCCATACGTTGCAATTGCGGTCAGGAACATCTCCCCTCCTCTGTGAGATGCCCGGTGTATATCAAACAAAGGCAGGTTTATCAATATGCCGCTTTGGAGAACGTATGCGGAGGCTCGCAGTAAACTGGGGATCTCCTCTTCTTCACCTCGATCGTCGCCGCCACCCCTGATTAATTTTCCCATACTCCCCTCCCCTCCTTCCTTTTCTCGCGGTTCCCCGTCGAATTTTCCTTTTCCGCCTCAGGGAATCGATCCTATATATTATCAGGACACCAATCCTTATGATCTCCTTGATACAATCCCGGAGTTTGGTGCATCGGGTCATGATTCCGGACTGTCATATAGTGACATGGTGCGTTCTTCCTCCTCCTCTATTTCTTCTCACCAACGGCAGAAGCCGCTGCCGCAGACTAAACAGTTCTTTCACCCTCGCCCCTCTCGGAATGATGTAAGGCTCCGCCAGGACCTTTGCAATGCACACAACGCATGTTTGATCGCTCCCCACGGAAGATGGTATGGACAACAGGACTCCCTTCTCCCGGATCACCCACCTCCCCTTTACCCCTCCGCCGATCCCTCACCCCCATCTTTTTTCTTCGCCTCTTACTGATTCATCTTCCTTTTTGTCGGGCCCCGCTCCGTATGTCAGCTCTACCCATCCGGACCTTGCCAGCTTTATTAACATAATATCCAACCTCTTACTCAAAGTGATAGGTAACAATCAGACTACAGTGACCCTTCATTAGGAAATAGCCTTCGCCAAATACACGAAGTCCTCGTCAGGTTCTCTAGTAAAATTCAACCGTAAAATGAATTCGCAACAACCAATAAGGTCTCAATCTTATGTTTCTAGTCAACCGCTGAGAATAACTTATTGGAATTGCCGTGGGGCTTACTCTAAAAAACCTGAAATAGAAAAGATTTCCGAAGAGCTGGACATTATTATCATCGCAGAAACTTGTTTGAGTCCCGATCATGCCTTCTCGATTCGTGGCTTCGATTGCATTCGTCTCGATTCGACCTCTAACAACATTAGAGGTTTACTCATTTTAATCCGTAATTCGATTCTTTTTTCTATTGTTGACATCCAATTTAACTTCCTTCCCGCCCTAGAAATTCTAGCAGTTAAAATCCATCTCAAGGATTCCATCCTCAACATCGTAGGAGCTTATCGTCATCCTTCTATACCAATGACTAATAGTATTATAAATTCTTTTTACTCTTTTATGAGTCAATTCAACTCTGTGTTATTGATAGGTGACTTCAACGCTCACCATCCCCTCTGGGGATCCCAGAGACGCAACTCGGCGGGTACAACCCTCTGCGATTTGACTGAATCCCTCAATCTCATCTGCTTAAACCCTGATGCATCTCCTTCCTTTCACATCCTACTAGGGCTCCTTCATTTATCGACTTAGTATTTGCTTCTATCAACCTATCATCCTTGTGCTGTGTATCCGTTAGTAATAATCTTCTCGGTAGTGACCACTTTCCGATCTATGTCTCTCTTAATTCGCTCGTCCGATCGGTTGACACTTTCTCACATAGAACCCGCCTCTCTCGACTTCAGTGGCAATGCGTTGCCGCTTGGTTGGAGGTGCATGCGGGGGATATCGCTAGGGAGACCTCTGAAGCGGCACTTTCTATATCCCCGCAAGAAGGTTACAATACCTTCACTCAAGGCATCATGTCCTGTATCAATAAGAACTCCCCTCATAAAAATTCTAACAGGATCAAATTCTTTAATAGGGGTGGTCGCTCTTCGCGGGGACTACCTCCAGCCCCCTGGTAGACTCCTCAATGCGATGAGGCTGTCCGCGAGCGAGCCGCTCTTCTTAAAACATATAAACGGATTCCTTCGATTGAAAATTATGCGGTATATCAAGAGGCAGTACGCACTACTCGTAAGGTTCTTCGTCGAGCCAAACGTAAAGGCTGGCAAAATTTTTGTAAGAATCTTAATCATCTCACTCCCTCTGCTCAGATGTGGAGAATGCTCAAAAGATTCAAGAACCGCCGTCTAATCTCCAATTGCGGGAAGGAGACAGGTCAAGCAAGTAGTCAAACTACTGAAATCCAGGACATTGTGGACAAATTTTGTCCTCCCTCGTGCTCTCCCCCTATTCCACCCATTCCTACGTCGACGGAGAACCGGCTCTCTTAGTTCGATTCTCCCTTCTCTATAAATGAACTTAGGGCAGCTTTAGACTCTGTCAAGACGGCTTCTAGCCCTGGCATGGATCGGGTGGAATATCGCCTGCTCAAGGTTCTTCCCGAAGAACTTCTCTTTTGCCTACTATCTTTGTTGAACTTATTTTTCTGTTCGGCCATCTTTCCACACCAATGGTCCCACTCAATCGTCTATCTCATCCCGAAACCCCATGGAACGGGATATCGACCCATTTCTTTAACGTCGTGGATACTTAAAATCACGGAACATATGTTTCTCAACAGACTACTGGCTTATTGAATCTCCTTCTTCTCCACTCCCTTCGCTTTTGCCAGACAATCAATTTGGATTTAGAAAATTTAGGTCTTGCCAGGACAATTTGATTATTTTCTCCTCACACATTCATACGGCTTTTCTCAAGAAACAAGATACCATCGCTATTTTTATAGATATCAAATCTGCGTTTGATAATGTTCTCCCTCACATTCTTATCCAGGACCTCATCAATTCTGGATTTCCCCCCCTCTTTATACACTTTATAAAAAACTTGATTTCTTCGCGCACAATTCAGTTTGTTATTCAGGGATCTCTCACCTTATATTTCCCATAAGGGCACTCCGCAGGGCTCGGTCCTCAGTCCTACCCTTTTTAACATTTATCTTAGGGAAATCAATAAAGTACTGGACCCCAATACCTTGTTGCAGTTTGCCAACGATATCGTTATATATGCTTCTAACTCCGTATCTGTAACAGCACTCCGATCTGTAGAAAGATCGCTTAAAAACATTCAATCCTTTCTTTGTGAGAGAGGTCTTGAGATATCACCAAAGAAGACTCAGATGATGGTCTTCTCAAAAAGAAAGAATCTATCATATTCGAATCTCAACATAGAATTGGAGGGAACCGTCCTCTCCCCCTCAACATCGGTGAGATTTCTGGGTATTGTCTTTGATCCCAAACTTTCAGGTAAGAATCATCTGGAACAGGTTATCTGTAAAGGCAAACGTACGATCTCGGTCATTTCTGCTTTGAGGGGGACTTGGTGGGGGGCCAACCCTAATCTCCTTCTATCCGTCTATAGATCCATGATTCGTGCCTCTTTCGAGTATGCGTCTCTTATTTTCGCCCTGAATGACAACCGTTTGCTAGTTAGACTGCAACGCATACAAAATCAGGCAATACGCATAGCTTGTGGGTACCGTAACTCTACTCCGATAAATGTGATACATGCTGAAACGAGGGAACCCCTCTTGAAACAAAAGTTTGAGTACCTAGCTTCGAAATACTTTCTTAAAATAATTTCCTTTCGGGATCACCCGGTTGTGACTAAGCTTCTGGAGATTTGCGATTTGGTCGTTAACACACCCCGCTCTTTCTATTTAGGCACTCACTTTCCGGCGGCGCTTGTTTTTCTTCATATGTGGTCCTACAACAAACTCATGCTCATTACGCCTGGCCTCCCTGCGTATCAAAATTCATATTACTCTACCTGTACGAATGTTTCCTATTTATCCCTACCACCTAATATTCTTAAAAATTTTGATACCATTCCTCAACAGAATATCCAACCGATTTTTGAGGATACCTTTCGGCGCGTGCTCGCTCGCGCCATTGTCTTCTACACGGACGGTTCAAAGGTTAATGATGGTACATATGTGGGTTCTGTGGTCTATTCTCCCCAGCTTGACCTCCATTTTATGTTTAAATTATCCTCGTACGCGTCTGTGTTTACGTCCGAGGCATGGGCCATATACAATGCTCTACTCTTTGCCCTTCACAATGACCTCAGCCGTATAGTTATTGTTTCTGACTCCAAAAGTGTTCTTGATTCCCTTGCGGGTTTCCGCAATAGAACCAACAATTACATTATCTCGTACATCAGGGTTCTCATAGAGGAGGCGAAGTTCCGCAACACCCAGGTTAGCTTCATTTGGGTACCCTCACATTGCGGAATTCAAGATAACGAAATAGCTGACCAACTAGCCAAAAAAGCTATAGGAGAGGGGGCTGAATCAAATTTCATGACTCCCTACTCCGACTTATTCTCCATACCGAGGATGCGTCTGTCTAAAGCATTTGATAGTTATATTGAAAGGACATCTCGGATCACGGGCGAATACTATTTTAAAAATTGCTATACCCATAATAATAAGCCTTGGTTTCATGATCTTCGGTTCTCTCGCATCATGATCACCACGTTAAATCGCCTTAGGAGTAACCATTTTAATCTTAACTACAGTCTTTTTCGCAAAAACCTGATTGACAATCCTTCATGCCTTTGTGGAGCTCCCTCACAAGACTTCGCACACGTTATATTCTTCTGCCCTCTCACAGAACCGTACGTTGCTTCCATCCGGCTAGCTCTCAATGATCTCGATCAGGAGGACCTCATTCCTCCCAAGATCCCAACATTACCATTACTCGTACCTTGCGTAACCCTTCGGCAAAGATCTGTCGATTATTTGTGAGCTTTGGTTTGGCCTGTGATCGTTTGTTATAATTTGTATTTTCGCGGCGCTTGTCCACGGCTACT